CGAGCTAAGGGTAGCTCGTGGGATTGCTGATCGGTCTCGGGATGAGATAGCTGCTCTTCAGACCCTTGTTGATGCCCACCATCGGGAGCACAAGGCTCTCTGCGAGATGCTTGAGCGCAAGGGCGTTCTTCATCGGAAGAAGCAGCGTACTGATGGTACGGCTTAAGCCGACCAACGTAAAACGTGGGATGTGTTCGCATCTTACGTGGTAACTCGATCGTGTATGCATTGCCTAGGCGGTGCAATACACGAAATGGGCCAATGTACTTGGGTAGTAGTTTACTGCTACCCAAGTTAGCCACTACATGCTTTGGTAGATTAATCGTAGACAGTAGGACTAAGTCACCTTTATTAAATAAAAGAGTGTTTGCCCTTCCATTCTTGTCAGCGTTTTGCTTTTGCTTATCCACCGCTTCGGCGATGGAGTCTTGCACAAAACGGACTACCGTTTCACGAGCCAGTATGAACTCATCTGATGACTCGTTAGCTTCAGTGTGCTGTGAGCGCACTGCAGCAACATCAACCTTTTCTTCAGTGAGGGCTTCCGCACTCTCACTGGGATCATCTTCTTCAGTGAGGGCTTCCGCACTCTCACTGGCATCATCTTCTTCGATATCGATGTTATCGATATCGGCAATCAAACGCAATGGTCTCTTCGTCAGAGCGTGATGAGCGTGAACCAAATCGGTTTTTGCTCGCGCGAGTCCCTCCCCCCCTTAAACCAGAGTTACACTCTAGTAAGGTGGGTACACGCGGATGGCGCAAGCCATTCACGTAAAACGGTGTATGTGTCGTGGACGCATGCACCGAGTTGTTGATGGCAAACTCTACCATTGGCAAAAACTCACTCCAACTCTTAAAGGAGTGTACGTATCCTCGAAGTATCTCTTCAAGGACACGATTGGCACGTTCCGTCTGACCGTCTGACTCTGGATGATCAGATGTTGACATCTTCAAGCGCGTTCCGAGTGATTTGAACACGGAACGCCAGAAATCAGCAGTGAATCGTGGATCTCTGTCTGATACGAGTTCACGGGGCAACCCATGAAGTCGGAAGATGGTGTCAATAAAGACACAAGCACAGCCACTTGCCGTGATTGTCTCTGGTACAGCCACAAGGTGTACCATTTTGCTGAATCTGTCAACAAATACGAGAATACCCGTATTCCCGCGTGCGTCTTTGGGTAACCCGAAGACGAAATCCATTGAGATGGATTCCCAGCACTCAGCCGGAACCGGTAGAGGATGTAAAGGTGCACGCAGTGAAGGACTTGACTTCACTCGTTGACAGACTTCGCATGCGCGAACATACTTTCGCACAAACTGATACTGGCGGGGCCAGTAAAAGTCTTGACTTACCGTGAGATATGTTTTCTCTCGGCCACGATGTCCTCCTATAGGAGCATCGTGATACTCGAACATGATCCGCAAACGCAGATCAGTATCATCTGGAATGACAACACGTGGTGTGTCACCAGAAACGGCTGTATAGTACAGTAAACCGTTACGAGTAGTGTATCGATCTGATGCAGATCGATACGCAGACGACAATCGTTTCAACGATTCTCGAGATGGTTGGGAGAGATGTGTCAACAACTTCACTATCTCACCATCTTGGGCGTACGCCCGCCTCACATCATCATACAACGTTGTAGATGAGACTGAGGACGTCATAACCGCAACAGTGACTGTCTCACTGTTGGGTTTCGCGACTGTTTCAAAGTCAAGACGACGTGAGAGTGCACCAGCAACTACATTAAGTCGTCCTGGTTTGTACTCGACCGTAAAGTTGTATTCCGCAAAGAATGACAACCACCGCGCCATTCGTTGTGAAAGGTGCGGGCTGTTCACTGCCGTGCGTAATGACGCATGGTCAGTGCAAACAATGAAGGGTCTATCTCCTAATAGATAGACTCTGAACTTCGCGAGTGCATACTTCATGGCAAGGAGTTCCTTGTCATGCACTGGATAGTTCCGCTCAGCTGGTTGCAGCTGACGCGACTGATAGCAGACGACGCGTTCAACGCCTTCAAGATCGTACTGCATTAATGCACAGCCGATTGCGAAATCGCTGGCATCACAGACCACATGAAATGGCCTGTCCTGATCGGCTATTGCTAGGACTGGGGATTGTATCAAGCTCTGCTTGATACCATCAAAGGAGCGCTGACATTCAGCGTTCCATAACCACCTCTCGTTCTTTTTCAACAAACGAGAGAGGTGCACAGTCATCTCGGCGTAATTGCGTGAATACTTATGCAAATACGCCGCTAGCCCAAGGAATTTTCGAAGACCTTTGACATCAACCGGCACAGGCCAGTCGGTGATCGCCTTGATCTTTTCGGGATCAGGACTTACACCGTTCTTACCAACGATGCACCCAAGAAGTGGTATTTCGCTTGCTGCAAATATACACTTCTTGAGGTTAGCATACAATTGATGCTTTCGCATGATTGTAAGAACTTGTCGGACGTGGTATCTGTGAACCTCAACGTCCGACTTTCCATCCATAGCTCGACTATGGATGAATACGTCATCGAAATAACTCGGCGCGAATTCTCGTACTGGTCTCAACAGATATGATACACATCTGTTGAACGTGGCAGGGGCATTACTGAGCCCTTGTGGCATTACTAGCCATTCCCAGAGCATGCCGCTAGGCGTGCTAACTGCGGTATAGGGTATATCCCGTTCCCGCATAAGGATTTGATCGAAGCCATCCATCAAATCCATGGACGAAAAGATGGTACTCTTTGACATACCATCAATGATTACGTCCTTCCTCGGTATCGGCGTCTGAGCCGGTACCGTTGCAGCGTTCAATTTGTTGAACGCGTGCACTATCCGCCACCCTCCTGTTGCTTTTCGCACACAGAAGGTCGGAGAGCTATGTGGGGAAGTTGATTCCCTCACATGGCCCGCAGCTAAACGATCGGCAAAGAACTTGTCGATCGCAAGTACTTGTTCACGAGGCAGTGGCCACTGCTTCATGACACATTACTTCGAGCCTGGTTTAAGCTCGACCTCGTGTCGAATACCTTTATCCTTCGGTAATTCGCACGGAACAGTTTCAGGGAATACATCCTTGAATTCAACCAAATCTTCATAGAGAGGATTTTTCTTGAGCGATTCCCATGATTGGGAGTCATATCGCTCAGTTCGTGTCTTTTCATCTAGGACACTCTCGTCCATAGATGAACTACTGAGAACTCTCTCGTTCTCAGTGAACACTGTTGCTGACCTTATGTCGGTTACACACTCGTCGTCAGCGACGAGTATGCAGATCTGCTTGACTTTGCCACTACGCAGATCACGCAAGAACCTTTTATGTTCGAGCGTTGGCAACTGAGTGATCTCCGAAGTTAACTTCGGAGGCGCAATCAGATCAAGTGTATAAGCGCCTACACTTGATCCGTTATTGACTATGACATTCAATGTCTCTGTCATTTCCTGGGGACTTATTCCCTCAGGCTTCGAAGGACTTATTCCTTCGTCTTCCCGGGGACTTATTCCCGCGGGTTTCGGAGAACTTATTTCCGCCGTATTTATAATCTTGGGACTTATTCCCTTTACTTCCTCTAGCTGGGGTTGCGCAACCACAGCGAGATCCTCTACGAAAGACTCTCCAGTCGATCTAGGATTATCGTTTCGCTTAACCTGAGCGATCGATTGTTTCTCTTCTAGATTTTCCCCGCTAGGGATACATCTTTGTCCCAGTCCACCCGACTTATTCGAGTGGTGGACCTTCGGCGCAGCCTGTGTTTCCTCACAGCCGCCGGAACTTTGCTCCGAAGTGTAACCGTTTGGTACACTAAGGTTTTGTGCAGTCGTACTAACGACCGTACCACAAGTGAGGCCATCGCACTCACTCGTAGTACATCCACACGCTTGTGGACGCTCCAAAACGTTCATCAGATGGCCATCTGATGAACAAGCGGCAGGCATCGTTACTGTCCGATGTTGCCAGTTTACTCGTGGTTCGTACCTTCTGAGCCACGGTATTCCAAGGATGACATCGAATTTGTCATCCAAATCCAATACGATAAAGTCATCGTCATATTGGGTATCTTCTAGCGTATAGTGGATCTTCACTATACGCTTCATGACGGTTACGGATGCGCCTGTCGCAAGACGTACCGTCATCCTCGTAGGAGGTGTGTCACATTCACTGAACTTAAAATGACCATCTTCTAGCGATTGGCGTCGCACAAAATTGTTGGACGCCCCACAATCGACTAGAGCTCGAAGGGACAACTTATTCGTCACTTCGAGTTTCAAGGTAATGAGTGAGACCTCATAACCTAGAGCAGCAACGCACAACGTCTGTGTGTTGGGAGCAACCTTCATCAAGAGGCCTACAAATTCTCTTGACGTTGCTAGACCAGTAGGGTGCTCCGCACCTACTGATCCTGTCCGTTTTTTGACGGTCCATCCCGTTGTTGCGTCTTTGCACCAACTGCGGACCCTCGTCCCTGCCCATTTCTCATGGGTGGACGGTCACTACGCCCAGTGTCGCGAGACACTGGACGAGGGGCACTACACTCGTAAGCGTAGTGTCCTGTCTTTTGACATCTGTTGCATCTCTGCAACTTCTTGTAGCCTGTAGAGCGAGCCTTCTCGCTCTCTACATAACAGAGTTCCATCGGCTCTGGACCTCCGTTGTCATATCGTCTCGGTTGACGATATGAAATCGAGCTGGCGCGATCCTGTCTCAGACTGAAGTCTTCCTGCTCCGCAATGGAAATGGCTTGTTCTAGTGAATCTAGTTCAAGCCGGAACAGGTGAGTCTTGACGGGACCATCCGCAAGACCCTGCATGAACACCGAAACCAACGTGTGTTCATCCACCGGATTGGAACTTATACAACTCGTGAGATGTCGTATATGTTGCGCGTAAGCGTGCACATCACGCTTACCCTGCTTGAGCTTCAAGAGTTCGGTTCGAGCTCTGAACTCAGCTCTTGGCGGTTCAAACGTTTGTCTGAGCCGCGACTTGAAGACTTACAACGACCCAAACGCATATGGGTCGTGCAACTTGAGCCCCAGTGCCCAAGGCTTGGCACGTCCTGCCAGATTTGACTGGGCAAATGCAACTTGCATATCCCCGTCGTCGATGCGACGCGCCCTTATGGCGTCATCCAATTCGACGAACCATCTCAAGAGGGAGTCTTCTTCGACCCCCCTATACTTGGAGATGTCAATCTTCAAGGTTTCGGGTCGACGCGAGTGCATCGACCCGCCAGCAGCAGCATGCTGCTGTCTCAACAGTTCAAATTGTTGAGCACCCTGTTCTCTCAACAACTCTGCTTGTTGAGAACCTTGTTGGTGAAGCAAGGCTACTTTCTCGCGTTCTGCGTCAAGTTCATTTTGAATGAACTTGGCGATAGTAGCATGTTGGGCATCTCTATTGAGAGCCTCTAGCATGACGCTAACAGCATGGATGCCCATGGTTGAACCCATTCGTTCAACCGCATCCCATTCGACATCGCTCAAATGGGAGTAGCCGTCACGCGTAGCGTGAAAGCTTTGGTCATCTTCATCATCCAACATATTCATGTTGGATGTGAACGCGGTCCTTGGACGGACTACGAAGTGCTACCAGGTGTAACGGGGCACCCTGAAGCTTGTACTGGTGACAGTACAAGCTACTTATTCTGATGACAGAATAAGGCGGTGCCTCGTAACTTCACGTACACTGGTACGTGCAGAGGAAGACGGTAAGAAGAAGCGAGTACTTGGTTAAAGTAAAAAGTAGAACCGCATTTACAATGGTTAATGTCTGCAATAAATCACTATTTATCTTCATCTAACTATGTCTAAATACAAATGTGTAAATCAGTTATCTGCTCACCACTCATTGCGTGCGTCTGTCGCGGCGCGTCTTCGTTGGTTGATATAATGGCCTATATCAACCAATTAGGAACTACTTGTAAGTGCTACAGAATATTTGTCCTTATGACAATATTCTGAGAATATAACTCTTATAGTTATATTCTATTAACAATTTCTTATAAATTGTTATGTAACGATTCACCCCGTTACAAACATGTTATATTGAGCGGTATAAAAGAAGCCCAGCTGCTATTGTTTCCGAACGGTAACTTTATTTTTCAGGCACATCACGGTTTTGAGCAAAGTAGCGCCCATCGATACAGTAGCTCCGCATAACGACAAGTGGAAGGTTGAAGAAGACGAGCAGACTCGTGTGAGTGTTACTCTGGAGTGCAACACTGACGGCTCGGACAAGCGCAATCCCCTCATCTTTGGCCACGCGAAAAAGCCGCGCTGTTTCCAGAAGAAGACAGAGAATAAACTTGGCTTTAAATATCGCAGAACCTCAAGGCGTGGATGACCGTTTCGCTATTTCGAGAGTGGCTGATTGATCATAAAAACGACATGCACGCTAAGAAATGAAACATCTTTGTCCTTCTCGACAATGCATCGGCACAGACTGCTCGTAGTATGGAGGTAAAGAGCGTGAAAGTCGTTTTTCATCCTCCGTATACGACCGCAAAGCTGCAGCTCATGGAGGCCGGTATCATTTCCTCATACGAGCGTCGAAACAGGCATCGCCAGCTCGAGCACGCTTTGGATATGGAGGATAAGGATTAATGACCAGTATTTACAACCTGGACCAGCTCACGGCGATGAAGTGGATAAAAAATACTGGCGTGACGTTCCAAGCGATGCTATAGTGAACTGCTTTTAGCACACAGAGCTCGTGTTCGGCTGTACGACCACTCGCAGATCGCGCAATGACGCTAATGACTAACAGAATATCAGCCTTCTAGTACAAATGCGTCAGCTACGCATCCGCGACCCGATGGACCCGAACAATTTCATATGCTGGACTCCGAGGCCGACACGGAGATGGAAGCGCTAAATGCCATAGACCTGCTCAGCGAAGAAGCGGACGCGGGATTTTGCTCAAGGCCCAAAAGAGCAGGGACTTCAAAGAATAGGAGTCGCCAAAAGAAGGTTTAACAAACATGCAGACAGATATCAGCGCCGAGGACAAGGTTGACGCAGTCCGAGTCATCATTTTGGTGCTCGGTGACCACCCCGATCTAGAGACTTGTCAAAGGAGGAATGCGCACATTACAGCAGCGATTGCACGAAGAGCTGAGGGTTGGAAACGAGAACTGACTTACACAGACGCTAATTCGTGGTTAATTTTCTGCAGCACTGACTGTTTAACTGTAGAATGCCAAGACTATTATTAAACGATCTTGATAGTACTATCAATGCTTAAGATTGTTAAACGCATCCACCTTTTTTACATTTTAATTCGTTTCAGTGTTTAAAATGTTGGACTACACGGAGACGTAATTTTGATTTCAGATCAGTTTTGTTTAACGGTTGTGCCCACGCCAGTGACCCAAATCCTGGACCAAGAATATTTTATTTGGACGAAAATATTCATCAAATATAAACTATGCCAATTATCAAGTTTACCCTATACTTTTACATAGAAACAGAATCGGTGGATCGAATCCTAATCAAATATAGCAACGTATCATCTTTATCAAGGACCAGATAGGCCAGGTTTATCGATACTTGTAACGGGTGAGCCTGTCATCCATACTTAACCCTCAGCACTTGCTAAATAGCACATTTTTTTCAAAAGGGTTTAAATGTTCGTGAATTTACCACATTGAGTAATTTTCATTAACACTCACTAATGGGCTAGCATGCGTTATCATATCAGCCATCTCTAGCGTTCAATTAACGATGGATGCGCGAAATGAGTGGTGAGCAAGACATAAGCATGCCCTTTTGTATACTTGCACAATTAAGTAAATAAAATTTTAGTTTAGTACTAAGAACTTGATTACATTTAACACAGATTTACTCAACCAGCAACTAATCAGTTCCTGATTGATTTTTTGTTTCTCTGCTTATTTTACAGAGGTAGCGAGGAATCACCTATTCTGCAAGCGGCGAGAGTTTCTCCACAATAGTTGGTTGGTGTGTTGCTCCGGTGCTCCGTTACCTGTGGAGCACTTTATAGTCTGTCCAAGGACCAAAAACCCTTTCAACATGTACAAGCTAAACGATAAAGACGACGACGCCTTTTATGACACCCGCGAGAGTTGCTTCTATTATAGTGATGTCGAATGGAGTGCGATCGAACGAATGAGTTTGATTGTTGTCGAAGAAGCTGTTTGGGTTTTACTATCCTCAAAAGATAGGAACAATGGCATTTTGAAATCGCCTTGTTCTTGCAACGAGAACTTGAGGAGTCGCGAGCTTTCCTGAGCCCTATTGCATCAGCACGTTGACCAGCAGATAGAATTTCTGAGACAGCGACAGTCTCAGTCTGCTACTGCAGCGTCAACACTTGAGCTTCGACAATAGAATTTAAAGTTCGAAGTCTCCTAGTACCAGGAAGTTGAGCAAAACGCCCTGTCGAGATGATTATCAAAGTGGACCAGGCCATTAGATCTTTCACATCGACGATGAGGTTATGAAAGTTGCGTTGCCAAATCGATTTTGTCAGGGCGTGTTAGAACTTAAGCCCTATTCTTCAATTGCATAATCCAAACGTATTTGATTTGTTGACGGTTGTTTAGACTCTGCTCAGCCAAAAGTTTGAGCCGCCAAGAGATAAGTTAAGGATTCTTTTTTAGCTTTTTAGGTAAAACAAGGTAAGCGTGTTGTTCACGCTTACGCTCAGCACTTTCATTACATTGCAAGTTGCACGGTAGCGAATCCTGTAAGTGATTGATTGTAAATCACGATATTTAATACGGGGCTTTACAGATGGGCCAGTAAGGATTCATCTGCTTCGCACAAAATAAAGTCACTTTTCGAAGGGAATAATATATGCATTGCAGCAGCACTTTAGTGTAGGACAGGCCCACACTAGCTTGTCCGTTATCGTCCTTTGAGACGGATAGAGGCGGGTGGTCCAAAATAAATGGATTTCTGTAGTGTTGAGAGCGAGAGACCCCGCTCGACAAAAATTAAGCAATTAAAAGGTTAACTTGCTGTCAGAGTTTAAGGCAATACACCTACGAGTTTAGAGCTTCACGCCCAGCGTCCCGAAACACTTAACGATAAACTAGACATTCTGCCAAGAAGGGCAATGGACGCGGGTCGAAGCTGTTGCGAAGTCACATCAGCGTGGTGGACCGTCAAACAACGTTCAAGGTCGGTAGAGGCGGAGCGCCCTGCTGATCCAGAATCTCAGGAGAATCTAAATCACTTGATGTAAGTTGCTCCAGACTTACAATCACTGTGTGTCTCTGCTCTTGGTGATGATAATCCCTCATCACCTATAGCTTAAGACTGGCAAAGAATTGTTACTTCGTGCCTTAGCTAACTGCGGGGTGTCGAACAACTTCGATCGTCGCCAGTCGTCAGAGTATCGTAGGCTTAATTACTTAAAGCACGATGTATTTCTTACAAGGATGACGGTGCGCCTTGTTGCGGGCGCATCAATAGCAGTAATGAAGCGAGTAGCGAGATTCTACAATACGCTAAAAGATTTGAAGTAAGATAATGACTTCATTATACTGGATTTGGATGAAAAATTTGATGTCCATCTGCACTTGCCTTGTTTAAAAAAGGACAAATCAAGGGTCAGCTGGCAGAGTAGAAGCGTGAAGGTGCCTGCCACTCAGATGGCGACCTGACGAACATCTTGGAGCGTTCACATGTCTATGGACGTATTGCGAATAAGTGCGATGGCGTCACTTGTGGTACGGTCGTCACTACGACCGCACAAGATTACAGTGCAACAACAAATCACATTTGCAAGGAAGCAGCCAGCGGCTGTGCAGATGCACAAGCAGCGCCGAATGTTGACCACTAGAAGAAGTCGAGTGGATCGAGACATGATTGTACGCCTAGCGAGCGACGTCATTGCCCGCAATGGACAACACGATGATTATATGTATCGGCTGAAGAGTCGATCGTAGAGGACCTAGCTGTGGTAGCGCAACTACAGCTATAAGACGTAGAGGAAATGGATCCTTACGTAATTAAGCAAAAACAAATTGTTCAAGCAGGTATTGGCGAGGTGATAGGACCTCATAAACCTGAGGTAATAACTCCCCAAAAATAGCTGGAAAAGGTTTACCAGGAAGAACCGAGACATTGAATGTTTTTGGTCAATGACGTGTCAAGTGTCAAGTGTAAAGTTTACGCGTATCATCTGGTCACGCCTCCGAAGTTGACTTCGAGGATCACTCATTAGCCGACCAAAAAAATAAAATCGTTCTTGTAAAATCTGCGCATTGGCAAGGTCAAGCAGATACGTGTAATCGTCACGGAGTACGAGTACATGGTCAGCATGTGGTCGGCGTTATTATTTGCAGAGAACGAACGGGTGTCTATGGATAAAAGTGTTTTCGATAAGCAAAGTGTCCTCGGCGAGAATATTGAGACGTGTACGAATCGAATTGAGCGATGTACATTTCTTGGGAGTCGTTTTAGGCAAACTACTTAAATAAGGATTTGATAGAACCCATGGACGTGTTCTTATAAATTGCGTCATGCGTTGCCTAAGGATAAAGGCAATGGACATTACATCAAGCTTAAATTTGAATTGA